TTAGGAAAGTTTAGTACCACCGTCAGGTACAATATAGGTTGGATGTGAGTCCACCACGACATTGACATTCATTAATCAAGTCACTTATGGAATTAACCCACTAACTATCATCGCGATACCATGCACCTTTGCAATAATTAGTTAATGGTTGTAATCCTCAACTTTATACTTTACTCCAATATTGACTAAGAATCTTTAGGAGACTCATTCCGAGATCTATCACTTACTTAGGAAGGATTTTTCAATAATTGGCCTCCCAGAATGCCACACCAATATTTACACTATGAGATATCCAACTTTCCAAAACAACATGTCTTCTAGTCCTAAGTCAATCAACATGCTTTAATCCTTGTAGAATTCTCAACATCAACATCTCAAGAATCATCATCTATATACATATTACCTTAGGTCAATGGATATATATAGATGTAACACCATTATTGAATTTACAACATACTAATGCATCTCACAAATTCAACCATACAATCATCTATATATATTATCTCAAATCAATATACATAGAACATGCATTACCAATCAACACACAACATGCAATAGATTCACCTAACCTATCCAAGTTTACCATTTAATCATGCAAACAACTCATCATTACAAGTTAACCCATGCCTAACATTATCCAACCTACGTTCGACACCATTGAGGCAAGGAGCTCTCTGTCTTGACCTCACCCGACGCCATACAACTCACACCCAACATGGATTAGGTAGAGAACCCTAGGTCTTCATGTTTAGCGTGGAAAGGCCCCACCTCAACCCCAAACCAACCTAAGATGATTCTCTTTCATCATGCTCGATGTCACTTCTTTAGTGCCCGACATTAATCTAACTCGAGACAATTTTCTCACTTCACGCCTAGTGTCATTCAAATCTTACTTACGTGATTTCAACCTGAGATGATTCTCTCTCCTCATGTCTAATGCCATAAATCATGCGCCCGACGTGAGCAAGACAAAGACCTTCAAGTTGAGGCCGCGCTTGATGCCTAAAAGGAACGTCGTGAGTTCTGCACATAATAAACTCACAAATTGACCCAATCTTCACCTAAAAATCAAGAAACCGGCATGAAATATAATCTATTGCACTTATACATCATCAACAACTCATACTACACAAAATTCACCACATGCAACCAACTAACTTGGTAAAATCCCCCAACATCATTTTCAACATTGTTCAAACATTCCAACCGCAACTCTTCCATAGTAAAATCTAAAAATAATTAATGCAACCAGATTTGATGACAATCAAACAAAATGCAAGTCATACAAATCATCAAGAAGATGTTTCTAACTTCCTTTACCTCTAAAGATCTCCAAACCAAGGAGAATTGGAAAAGGGAAGAAAGACAAACTAAGCTGTTATTGAAGCTCCACACTAACTCTGATTCTCAACTCTAGGGGCTTCAAATGACCAACATTACACTCAAGATCAATAGGGGAAGGATCAAAGATTCCTTGCAAAAATCAAGAGAAAGAAAATTCACCTCCTATTCCTAGAATTTCTCATTCTATTCACTCTCTAAGGCTCTTGAGAAAATGAGTTTAAGAAATTCAATCCTTAGAAGAAATTTTATATATCTTTTCTCTCTCAAGATTGACTGCACCTCTGTCACGAAAAACCCTCAAAACAATCTAAACTTATGAGAATTCCTTAATTCTTAGAGCTTCTCAACATAAGACACCCAAAACACCTCAACTCACAATTATTGAAATAAAACAAAAATGTATAGTGTTACACAAGGAGAGTTGTCACCATTATTAAAATAAATAATAAGTTAAACTTCACTTTCTTGTTCTTAATTATTATTTAAGATAGATAGTTTCATTCATCACTTGACAATCTAGAAATCAATGCAATATTATTAATTATATGTTTGATTTAGGGTTTAATGTAATTAATTTTACTAAATTTATTTTTAAATCGTTAAATAAAATTGAAATGTGAATATAAATTAATTTAAAATGTCTATTTTTATTTAAAAATTAAAAATTAAAGTTGACAATTTTTTTGGTGGTGGGGGTAACTATATTTTAATAGAATTAAAAATTAATAACTTGATTCACCTATCGGATTATTTTATATATATGTGTGTGAGATCTAGTTTGGTTACCTAAAGTAAGTCAATAAAGCAAAATATATATAGATCCAATATTAAAAACTCAACCAGCATAATGCTCCTCGTGGTTGAGGAACGTTTCTCTTAAATGTATGAGACAAAATACAAGTGCAAATTAAGCAACCAATAACGATGATAAAGAAATAATAAAATAAACATTAAAAATCAAGAGATTAAATACAGAGACACTTTTTTCTTTTCTCGCACATCGACATGCATGCGAGAATTATCTTGGTCACATAAAATCCCTTTAATAAGTTTAATGCACCCAAAGTATAACTTTCTACTTTCACACGCACTATCATCTCCTCAATCCTCTTACAAACACTCCTTTTAAGAGTGGGTGCTAGCATTGCAACTGCACTACTAGATCCAGTTTGACTTATGCATATATAGCATTGAAGATTCATTCCACTCCAAATATTCCACCTCTTGAGCTTCTATTAAACATACTAATTTTTAATAATTCATAAAATTAATGTTTATATTGTTAAATTATTAAAGATGATAAAGAACTCTAATTCTTGAAAAAGAACTGTCTTGTTCTATCCTTCACCTCTTTACAAATACATGAATTATATCTTAAAATCTGTCATAATTTTTTTAAAAATATTTCTCTAAAAATTTGTCTTAAGAATCTCTTAAAAAATTTATACTAAAAATATTTTTAATACACCAATTAATTGATTATATATATATATAAAAGAGTAAGTCTACTTACAAGCATGAAAATTACATTATATAGGTTCAATTTTCATTGCGACTATCTTTATAATCTTTCTTATCTTTATAAAAAAAAATTACATTAAGAGTAAGTCTACTTAAACTTACTACATTTTATAATTTATATTTTATATCAAATTTTAAAGATCTAACTGGTAAATTAAAATTTTTTAATATATAGATCAAGTATGCAAATTTTTAAGAATATTGAAAATTATATGATATCTCCTTATATAGATGCAAATCAACATATAAAATATTTTTATGATTATCTATCGATTTAAATTTATAAAATAAAATATTATATAATTTTTATTTTTTTAAAAATTTATAAACTTGATTTATGCATTAAAAATTTATAACTAAATGATTGAATTGTTAAAATTTATATAAAACATTATATTATTAAACGAAATAAGTCTATCAATTTTTTTAAGTAAGTAGATCTCTCTTTATATATATATATATATGAGTTAATCACTTATATATTACTAGTGTAAAAATTTTTCACTGATAATTAATCATATCTTTTAATAGTATCATGTCAGTTGTTTGTTTAATGAAATAATAATAAAATAAGCAATTTTAAAAGATATGATTAGTTGTCTGTGTAAAAAAATTTACTAGGTGATTAACTTTTTATATATATATA